AGTCCTCAGAACTTTCTGAAAGACTGTCTCCCAGGTAATAATCCTCAGGTTGGCTCAAAGAAAATTTTCCATTTCTTCCTTAGATCAACTATTGATTAATTTTTTCACGACAATTTTTTGCATAGGCGTTTTTAAAAAGCAGTTTTAATTATACAGCATATTAAAAGTTACATTCTACTTTTTTCACTTGTGATGTTGTAGGGGAGGAAAAACAATCTTCCGCCCTCTACCTTTCTAGGTTCTATGACTGAGACCTTCCCCTTAATCAAAGATTAACAAGAGAATATTCCACCCCAAAATGTGCCACTTTGGCAGGTGGATTATTTTGAGCTGAAGGCAATCAAGACGGAACCAACTCAGAAAAAGCTTTTTACCATCCCTTAAACTGACTAAAAGAATTTAGAAATGGGGTCTGTGCCAGAAAGAGAGCTACGACCAGAGACAACTTTTTCATGAGTCACTTATCTGCATGGCAGGGCAAACATCTGTTAACCAAACATCTGCTCTTCTCATCTACCTGTGAGTTGTCTTCTACCCCTCTGAAGTCCCAGACCCCCATTTCTTTCATTAGCTCAGGATGATATATAGGTTTTAGTTGTCTGACTGCCTTTGAGTCTCATATTCTTATGGGTCCCTTGTACGTATAAAATTGAATTTGTTTTTCTCCTGTTACTCTGTCTTCCATCAATCTAATTATTATACCAGCCAACGAACCTAGATGGTGAAAAAGGGAAATTTTTTCTCCCCTACAATAGATACTTCTCTTTTAAGGGCTGAGTCTCCACTTTAATGCTTCTTTTACCTTATTCTGAGTTGACTTTTGGGAAGTTAACCATTTTTTATGTACTGTCTTCTTCCCTAAGCATCATGTACCATATGTGAATCTCCAACTACAGGCCAAGCACTTGTTTCATATAATCCTCACATTGCAAGCCCTATAAGGGTTTTAGAGATAAGAAACTAGAAGCTCATGAAACCCAAGTTTTGGTGAGGGTTACTCTGCTAGTAAGGGCTCTCAACCCCAGTCCTGACGGTCTCAAAAGCTATGTCCTTTCCTCCACCTACAGTTGGAGCTTTGAGCTCCAACCCCTCTCAAGCTTTGAGTCCCATCCTCCTCTGCAGTAGACAATGGCTGGTGGAGAGGGCGCTGCTTTTGTTCTAGCTTTGGCTGCATACTGAAGTGTGAAACTTCAGGCAAGTTTCCTAGTTTGTTTTGGTTTCAGTTTCAACATCTGTAAACTGGCCATACATACCCCAGACAAGCTGGTCCCACAGGAGTCATATGAGGACCCATGGGACAAAATTTACACAAAAGTAACTGGTCCCTAGCAAGGGATTGTAGGCTGGGGATGTGTGGGGAGAGAGGGGAGTCTTAGAAGACTCACTTCTTGTTGGGAGGTTTAGGCAGGTGCAAAATGCTAGTGGAATCTCAATGACACATTTTCTCCAGTGGAGTCAGGCAAACACCCAGAGAGGTTGTCATCTCAGTTTAGGGAATGCTGTAAATTAGTATTTTTTTCCACTTAGAATAATGGGGGACTCACACGCTTGCCTAAAGACCCACCTGGCTTTGGGCTGAAGGAGAGAGAACAACGCAGCTCAGAGAACAAAGTATCAACATTTTGACTAAAGACAGAATCAGTATTACTAATTTTTCCTCTTCCTTCAGTCTCCAATCTGACTTGGCATGGCATTTCTTTATTTAAAATTTTGATATTTTGTCCATCACAGTGATGGGGCAGAGAGCAGACCACCCCAAGATGTGCCACTCTGGCATGCAGATTATTTTGAGTTGAAAATTACCAAGGTTAGTCATCAGTTAGATCCATTAAACTTGTAACCTGCCTTCACTGATCAAGCTTGCTTTAATAGTTTTAACAAAAACTTTCATGTTCTCCAAGAGTCATGTAGCCTAAATGATAAGATGTTTGCCTTAATTGTTTTTCAGGAATTTGGAGTTAGCTATGTTCAGTTGGAGCTTGAGCCAGTTAAGACCTCTGGCCCTCCAAGTGGGCATGCATGAGTGTCCTCTCGGTGACCTTTTAACATCAGAGGGTCTAAAACTCCACCCTGAGGACATGCATGCAGCCGTTTTCCAAATATGCATCCTACGAAGAAGCCTGCAGTTTAGTTGCAGTGTGCAGAATGATGATTATCTCACCTTTTTTTTCTTATTTCCTTTCACCTTTTCCCACATTCCCCATGCTTCAGACCACCCTGCTTTCTTACCCCATAAATAACATGAACCCCTCACGTTTGAGGAGGTGGATTTGAGATTTGTTCTCCTGTCTCTCCACTTGGCTGTCTCAAGAATAAATCTTTTCTCTGCTGCAGATCTTGGTGTCTCAGGAAGAATCTTGAACTTACCCCTTACTGACTAAAAGACTTTAAGATAGGAGGCCTGTCCAGGAAGATGCTTTCACCATAGAAAACTATATAAAGTATTAGGAGTGGCAGACAGTGGTAGAACCTAGCAAAGCCCATTTGGTCAAAGTCCTGTGTCCCATTATCTTTTGATGGCCCAGTACACATTTGTTTACCAAACATTAACTCTTTTTATCTTCCTGTGAGTTACCTTACTTCCCATTGAAACTTCAGACTCCTGCCTCCTTCTCCTTAGTCCAGAATACATACACATCTCAGCTTGTCTTGCTGTCTTTGAAATTCTTCATACTTACATGGATTCCTACTGTGCATGTAATAAATTTGATTTTCTCCTGTTAATCTGCCTTATGTCATTTTAATTGCTAGCCAAAAGAACTAAGAGGGGAAAGAAGGGAAACACTCCTTCACCCGTAATGGATTTTTCGCATTAATTTTGATTTTTCTAAATATTGCACAAAAATATTATTTACCTTGATGGCTGAGTGTTTTGGTGCTCCCTTAAATTTTGTGCCATGATGAATGCCACACTGGCTTCACCCTAGGCCATGAATATGTGGTACAGTGTCACAGCTGAGGTGGCATCAGTGTCGGCCACACATATACTCAGTTGGTAGCTTCCCCTTCTGGCTCCAATGTAGATCACCCTCTCCTCCAAGTGCTGCTATAGCTACACTCCACCCCACTCCACCCCACACCAATCTTTGTGAGAATTAGAAAAAAGAAAATCTTCCTCAAGACATGTTTATTTTATTAAAAAGGTAATTGTAGTAATAAATACAGACATTTACAATATTTATATGTGAATCACACTCTATTTGATGTGGTGTCTCAGAAAGGACACATCTGTGAAGGGGAGCAGAATTTGTCACCTCAAAAATATGTCTCTTTGGCATAAGGATTATTTCATGCTGATTACTTTTAAGAAACAACAGACATAGGAAGAGCTCTGAAAATGAGTAGAAGTTACCCTTTTGTAAGAGACATTTACATTTACAAGAGAAATCTCCATTTGCGAGGGCGTCTCCTTCTCTGTACCAGGAGGAGGGGGGTGACTAAATCTCTAAAAACTCATCAATGGAGAGGGCAGTGATTTAAAACTGTGTAACAATCATGTGGTACTGTGCTTTGCCTGATAACCTCCCATAACTGTCCCCACCTCCATCTTCTTTTGTCTGGAGATGGTGATGGAAGAGGCCATTTCAGGGAGGTTTATTCAGTTTTCCTGGGTATCTCACATGTATATAGGAGGAATACTTGTTATTAAACGTGTTTGTTTTTCTTCTGTTAATCTTTTTATTGTGGGGTCTCAGTCAAGAACCCAGAAGGGCAGAGGAAAATTATTTTTTCTCATCTACATCTGCACGGCTCCACGTGGAGGCCAGCTGGGCCCTCCTCCAGGTTCCTCAGAGCTGGGGGACTGCCTCCTACTCACAACCTTTGTTTCCCCTCAAATCAGCCTCAGACTGTTCTGTTGGTCCCCTCCCTTTTAGTTTTTTTCTTGACAGCTTATTATCTCTTACATTGGCCATTTTATATCTGAAAGTTTTTTTTTTTTTGCGGTACGCGGGCCTCTCACTGCTGTGGCCTCTCCCATTGCGGAGCACAGGCTCTGGACGCGCAGGCTCAGCGGCCATGGCTCACGGGCCTAGCCACTCCGAGGCATGTGGGATCTTCCCGGACCGGGGCACGAACCCATGTCCCCTGCATTGGCAGGCGGACTCTCAACCACTGCGCCACCAGGGAAGCCCTATCGGAAGTTTTTTTTTCTCTAGATATTTCCTCTCTCTCTCTCTTTCTCTCTCTCTCTCTTTCTCTCTCATGGTTTAAAACAACAATTTTTAAATTTCTTACTATTCTCTGGATTTCCTAGCTGGTTCTTCTGCTTCACGTGGTGTTGATTGAGGTGTCAAGAATGATGGAATATCCAGAATGGCTTCACTCTCGTGGCTGGCAGCTGGTGCTGGCTGTCGGCTGGAAGCTCAGCTTGGCTGTCAGCCAGTGGACTTGCTCTTCTCCCACGTGGGCCTTTCTACACAGAGCAGATATTTTCTCCTTTCACAAACTTTAACACACATTTCTTCACTTTATTTCTAATAGTTCATATATTTGGACCCACAAAATGGTAGCTGCCCCAGTGGTCCAGCCCACATCACGAATCTAAGCCTAAGTCAGCCTGCACTTATGGGAAACACCTGTCCAGGAACCTAACATCCACTCATCACAATCCTCCAACTCAGCTTTCCCTAGCTCACCTTACCCTAGAAACTAGAACTTAGAGGGAAATTCCCACCTCTTAGCCGATCACGCCCTGTTTCTAAGTTGCCTCTTCTAAAACTCTATAAAACTCACTCTTGTCCAAAATCCCTCAGGAAGAGTGCTGCACTGCTTGTGAGGCACTGTACTCCCCCAATGCAGAAGTTGTTTTCCCTTGAATAAAGGAAATACTTCACAACCCTAGACCTGAGACCTCAGATCCCTTTCCAACATTTCCATTCAAGATGCGTGTCCAGGAAGACATCCAAAGCAACACTCTCCCTCCACATATTTCTCATTTCATTAAAAAGGTGAGCTCTATGGGGGCAGGGATCATGTCTGTCTTATTTGCTAGACTGACCTAACAGAGGTTCCTAATAAATATTCATTGATTGAATTAAACAACTTTAAATGTTTGCAAGTCTCCTATAAATAGATTGAAAGTATGTCTTCAGGGCAGTTCTTCCACTGAGATGGGCTCCTACATAGGCCTAAGGCCTGGGTTTCTCCCTTGTAGCACAAAAGTGTAAATGAAGCTGGGGCAGTGGTCAATCACACTTCTGAGTTTTCACTTGGCTTCTACCTGGTCTTCTACCTGGCTTCTCTGTCCTTGTGTTCTTTGACTCCCAAGTCCTGTGAATCCACACCTGACCCCCTGGGTGTTGGGAATCCGTGGTCAGGCCTGATGCCACTGCCCACGGAAATAATTCATGAAGGGTCGGTTTCAGGAGAACAGAGAGCACATCTGATGAAAATCACAGTTAGCTCAGCGCAGTGCCAGGCACGTCGTTGATGAGTCAGTAAATAAATCCATTTCTGACTGCTGTCTTCTGCTTCTGCGGGGAACATCAGCTGGCTGATCCGAAGTTCTTGCCCTCTTGGCAACCTAACCCTTGGTATATTCCTCATCTCCAAACCCTGGAAGGGGAGCTGTCATTCAAATGTGTGAAACCGCATTTACATTTCAACAGAGATGCTTCTAAGCCCTTGCTTTGAGTTGGCTGATAAATTCCCAATCACATTTCCAGGAGGGATTCTGGATTCGAAGAGATTTCTCAGCAGTGGGTAGGATGAAGAGCTCTCTCTCTCTCTCTTTTTTTTTTTTGGCCTCACCACACTGCTTGTGGGATTTTAGTTCCCCAACCAGGGATTGAACCCCGGACCTCAGCAGTGACAGCACAGAGTCTTAACCACTGGACCACCAGGAAATTCCCAGATTGGGAACTCTTAAGTCTGTAGGAGCCTAAGGGATACTTTATTCTGGAAGGAAGTCAGTGTCCTTCATTCTTCCTTGATGTTTTTGATTAAGTCAGTGAAATCTTTTGACCATTTTCTTTGGAGCACATGGCTGCTTAGTTGACATTCTCATGGGTAAATTTCCTTGGTGTGTCTGGCAACGTGGGCAGTGAGTGGGATTTCTCCACCTGCTGGGCAGACATAAGGATGCAGAACACTGAAGAGGAGCAGAACTATGGATCCCCTCAGGAGACCCCACCATCCCAGAAACTCTTCATTGCCAAGGGTACCCAACCTAAACCTCTCGCTATGCTTTCTCCCACTGTTTAGTCATTTTGACCTTAGAAAAACTACTCCTCAAGCCTAACCCACATTTATCTTGTTGAATGCTTAATGAACTCAACTTTCCTTCTAATGATCTATCCAAACCAACCTTTCCTATTACTAGGCAAAGTGCATTACCCATCCTCATTTTTCTGATGTGGTTGGGAGAGGAGACAGGAAGGCATTCCTGGCTTCTGCCAAGTGTGATCTGTGAAGGAATAAGCTTTAAAAGCTTACTACGTTAGTAGCTTGACTGGGGAGAAGTTGCAAATCGCATGTAACATAGCTAGACCATGGAAAAGAAGAGGAACACTCTCCTGCCTCCAGTTTACTAGTGGCTCAGAAACAAGCCGGAGTTGTCTCCCCAGCCATCCCTTTCTCCCAGGCACAGCCTAAGCCATGGAACTTTCCCCAGGCCCTCAGTCAGGATCCTGCTGATTTTCCCTATTGATCCTGCCTGGAACCTCTCTCCTACTCTATTTGTTCCACATTGCCCCCATTTTCACTCCTAAAACACAGTTCTCTTCTATTCCCCACATACTTGTGTAACCTTAAGCAAAGGGAATGGGTATCCTGGTGTGCCTTTTAGTACCAGGGAAAATGAGATCTCTGGGGTCCAAGAAATTCTAGCTAAACTTGAAACAGGAAGAAGGATGGGACAGCTAAGATAAAACTCAGCTCTAAAGCTTCTTACCTTTGGGGGTATTTGCACAGTGGAATAAAGTGTATTTACTGCATTTTCCTCTGGTACAGTGCTCTGTTAAAAAACAAAAAACAAACAAAAGAAATCATTGCCAACCCCCTGGGTCACATAGACAAGGCCAAAGAGACATCCAGAATCCAGAGAAGGGAAAACAGAGGTGGGAGGAGACGGTGAGAGAGAAGAGAGGGTTCTGGAGCCTGAATGGGGGAGTGGGAAGTGCTCTTGTCAGTGACTGCTATTGTAATTATTAATGACTTTTTTCAAGAAGCAATTGCGGGCTTCCCTCGTAGCACAGTGGTTAAGAATCCACCTGCCAATGCAGGGGACGCGGGTTCGAGCACTGGTCTGGAAAGATCCCACATGCCACGGAGCAACTAAGCCCGTGCACCACAACTACTGAGCCTGTGCTCTAGATCCTGCAAGCTGCAACTACTGAAGCCCATGTGCCTAGAACCCGTGCTCCGCAACAAGTGACGCCACTGCAATGAGAAGACTGAACCGCAACGAAGAGTAGCCCCTGCTCAACACCACTAGAGAAAGCCCGTGCACAGCAACAAGGACCCAATGCAGCCAAAAATAAATAAAATTTTAAAAAGAAGAAATTGCATTATTTTAAAACTGTATCTTGTTTAAACTGTATGAGCTATGAGCCTCCTAAGGTTATTAAAGGATAATTTGAAATCATATTGTCAATGTTGGAAATAAACTTTTTCATCAGTCAAAAGAACTTATGGGGCAAATCAGAAATGATGACTAAAGGGACAAAACAAAACAAAACAATGACAGCAATAACAAAAGCTCCTTCCAGGCTGGAGAAAAATATCCTGGGTCAGTGAAGTTTATTCCTGAACATCTAGGACAGTCTTGTGGTCTCCAGGGAATGTGTCTTGAGCAGGGGAAGAGGGAGGATGGTGATAAAGTGATCGAATTTGACAGAAGCCGGGCTGAGTGAAGCACAAAGAGGTCACCCCTGTGAGGAAGGAAGGAGCTCTCAGGACACCAACAACTTCGAAGAGGAAACATAATACCTCCTCTTGGAAAAGTTGTGGATAAGTGTAAGGAGATGCATCCTGATCAGGAGACACTGAAGGCTGGAGTAAAACTAAGAGTTTTGAAGCTCCAAAGTGCTTTTATTTCTTCATTAAGTGGGCCAATGTGGAAAGGGCACTATGAAACCTAAGGAGCAAACTAGCCTCAGCTGCAATGATTTTTGCCAGGGGACCTTTTGAAGCTGTCTACCTAGTTCTTGTCTACAAATTGTCTCTTGTTATTTGCATTTCTTTAAACCTTAGTCTTAGGATTTTCTTTTCAAAGAGTGTTCTTTGAATTAACCTTGTGTTTGTTCACTGCAGCTTGGCGACCCACACTTGGGAAGCCTTGAGTGAGGGCCCAGAGCCACCATGGACCCTCTGAGCCCCCTCCTGATGCTTCCTTGAGTTGCCTCAGAGGAAATGGCATCTCTAAAGCCAGTTTTCTGATACCATAACTCAAACATCATATCAAAGTCACATTTCTCTACCCACCATCCTATGCAAAAGGAATTGGGTCTGTTGAGTGGCCATTTTGAACAGTGGAGGGGAAGGAGTGATTCCGTAGATCACAGTGTGAGCGTTACTGGCTAGGTCAGAGCCAGATGCTCCAGGGGCCACCAGTTCCTGCACAAGAGAGAATCCATGAAGACTTGGGGGAGGCACAGGTACATTGGGTTTAAAGGGTTATACATTTTCATTTCCCATGTTGCCCAAATCCATGGAAAAATCTCAAGTAAAGCAAGGAGGGCCTCAGAGAGGAGAATCAGTCCCCAGGAAAGACGGGAAAGAACTCACATTTAAGTAAGAGATTGTGTCATACTCCGAGGCCTCTCCAAAAGTGGGGGAGTAGTTAAGAGTTTCTGGATGAAGGTTCAGTCCCTTCTTCTCTTCAATGGACTCTGAAACCAAGTTGGGAGAGAATCAGAGCTGGCTCCTCTTTCCCCTGGCCACCCACATTGGCCCACCATCTGGATGACCCACTTAGGGTGACCAACCATCCTGATTTCCCTGTAACTGAAGGGTCTTCCAGGACATGAGACTTTCAGTGCTAAACCCAGGAACCCCAAGATGAACTGGTCACCCTCATCACTTCACTTCCCAATTTCTGGACAAAGGCAGCCAAAAGAGGAAGCAGAGGAGATCAGAAATGTTTTTACAGTGTTTACAGGAGGGAGAGAATATCTCAAAGTTTTCAGTTCGTACCCAACCAACGCTTAGGTCCCTCCCCAATACCCTGAGTGGACAGTATCAGTGGGAACCCGAGAAGACAAATCAGCAGGGTTTAGGGACACAGAGCATGGGGTACAGCCTGGAGAAAGACAGAGAAAGGCTTCTCCAGGAGTAATGTATCTAGACTGAGGTGGGGAGTAGAGAGAAGTCTCTGGAGTTGATCCAATGGAGAGAACTGGGATGGATTGGGGGCTCTGACAGGGATGGGCTGAACGGACGGTGCTGGTTTGTGGACCTCAGGGTTGAAGGCCATGGCCTCCCAGTCAGGGGAGCAGAGTCAACAGTGTGTGACCTGTGTCAGCAGGAGGGATACACTAGTAAGTCCCTCTGAGGGGAAGGAGAAGGGCAGGCACTGGAGAAGGAATTAGGAGAACCTTTGTCTTAGGAGAGAAGTTAAGGGCTCAGGTATTCTCTCCACTCCAGAATTAAGGAGTACAGATGGCTGGTGCTGTCCTTTAGGACAGAGATGATGGCTTCTTCATTTCTGCATCCTTAGTGCCTAACACCAAGCTTGGCACACAGTCCAACATACTGTTGAATGAGTGAAGGAGAAAATGCATGATTGAGGGTGAAGACAAAAATAGTTCACGCTCTACCTTTTCTTCTTTCTCTTCGTATGATCAAAATAATTAGCACCAGTGCAATGAAACAGAGCAGGGTGAGTGACAACAGGAGTTTGAGGATCACAGTGGTAGCCAGGCCACCAGCAGCACCTTTAAAGAGAGAATGGGTGTAGGCACAGGGCAGGGAGAAGAGTCAGCTAGGGAAAATGACCCAACTTTTGGAGCAATTGCAACCTTCCTCCCAGTCTGATGACTTCCCCAGGGCTTCCAGTTTTCACAAAGGGCTTGTTCCCAAGGGGGGCCAGGAGCTGAAGAAGATATAGGTCCTAAGACCAGGGGCTCCTGGAGAAAGAGGAGAGACAGTCACCTTCACAGAGCTTCCAGGCAAAGATGGGGTTTGAGGAGTTGCTGCTGATGGGGTTTCTGGCCATGCAGATGAAGGTCATATCACTTTTCTCCTGCCTCCAGGATATGGGGAGGGTGGAGCCACTATGGGACTCATTGGTCACCTGTCCCAGGGACTTCCAGCTGTAAGTTACATCCTCTCCTCCCTGTTCCATGGAACATGTCAGATTGGTTATACATGTGCCATTCTTATTGTTCTGCAGACCTATGATGACTTTGGGCTTTGACAGGTGCTCTGTAAAAGAGAAATAGACAACCAAGTGTGGAAATTATGCCCATAGCCCTCATTTTTTCTGCATTATTCTTGTAAACCTTGGACCTGAATCTCCCTGGTGTGCTACAGAGTGGAGAGGAAGCAGCAATTCAGAGCAGAATTCTCATTCTTATCTGGGGAAGAGAACAATCTAGGTCAGATTGCCCACAGCCATAAAACAACAACAGTAGTAATAGAAATAATTACAATGCAACAAGAATGAGCTGCCATTTACTAAGCACAGGCATATGGTAAGCACTGTGTTAAAAGCATTTTAGATGTTCATTAGTTTTATCTTTTTTGGAGGCTCCCTATTCCCCTGTCCTCAGGCTTCCTTGAAGAGACTCACTTTACTCTCTAGGAGAGAACAAAGGTATTGGAGCAACACTTCTGGTTCCCCTCTCTACCTTGTGCTCACTCTTTCAGAGGATGAGCAATTGTTTCATTGCTGAGATGGTGAGTCTGACATCCCTCATCTACATTTCTCTATTTACATGTTTGGGCTGTTATGATTGCTGTTTAAATGTGGTTTACCCTCCCCCCTCCCCCCACCCCTGCTAGTTTGCCTGCAGAATGCAGGTCTTCCATTCTTCTCAACTATATCTATATGGAGGACACACCTGGATCAAGGTGCATGGTCTACCTCCTACATGCAAACCTGCAGGCCCATCTCCTGGTGTCCCTGATATTGCAGCTCAGTGAGAAAGGCAGCTATTCTTTTAGCTGGTTGAGTAATTGTTTCATAAGTTCATTTTCCCTGAATAGGCACCAAAGTCTAGACTTGGGGGAAAGTATTTTTATTATCCAGCTTTACCAGAAAAAATAAAACTGATATTTTTATCTTCCTTTCTGATTCTTGTGTCTATTTCTCATTTGGTTAGAATCTTCACCGGAAGAGGTGTGATTGATAGTTATACCTGATAATCTTTCTAAGATAGGTATCACTTTACTCCCCATTACAGATATGGAAACTAAGTTTCAAAGAGATCAAGTAACTTGTCGAAGGCCATGTAACTAGTAAGTAGAGAAGCCAACATTTGACCTGCGTGATTGTCACTTCTCATAAAGCCTATCTGCTGCACCACAATCCTTCTTACTGAATATCTAAGAGGGGACTTCAAGGGTTGGCTATATCTACTTCATCCATGCATGAGTTCCCTCTTCCACTTTATTGCCAAGGGTTTATCCAGCCTTTGTCTGAACAGCTCCAATATCAGGGAGTTCACCATTTTAAGAAGGCAGTCATCCACCTTTGGAACTGGTTCTGCTCACCATAGACACGCAGCTCATACTCCTGGGTTAGGGGATCCTGGAGGGTTGAGCTGTGTATCTCCACACGGTAGACACCTGAGTCATTCTTCTTCAGTTTGCTGAGCTTCAGGGAGTAGCCTTCATGTGGGAAATTCACCCTTTCCTTGTTACGATGTTGGGTCACTATGATAAGGGCTTTTTTGTCTGCCAACGTTGGCTGTATGGTGACAAGAGTGGTTGTGTTGAAGACCCAGATAATGCTGTCAATTGGATCTGCTGAGAGATTCAGTGGGAAATTCACAGACCCACCAAGGGCACCAACTAGCTTTTTCAGTACTCCACAGGCTGCTGGCCCTGTAAAAACAGAGAACCATAAAATAAACCTGAGTTCCTGACCTTGCCACCAATTACTCACTCCCTTTGGGTCCTGGAAAGGTCCCAAGAAACCCTCTCAGTCTAACCCAACCAGTCCTGGGAAACCCTTTGGAACCTCACTCACACAAAGGCACTGAGGTCAGAACTCTCTGTCTGAAAGGGGTGACTACAGGCAAACCCACCCCATTCCCAGAGATTTCTGGCTGAAAAGACCAAGCTCTGAGGTAGACCATGAGGTTGGCTGCATCCTTGACAAGTTCCTGTGGGGTGACAAGTGGGGAGGTTACTGTCCAAGCTCCATTTAGGACTCTCAGATTGCTCCTGGGAGAGCTGATTTTGTTGCAGATGAAGAAGGTAACAGTCTATCTGACCTGGGGCAGAGGTTCTTAAGCACAAACCAGGGCATCGAGAGGCAAGCTGTAAGTCTTTAAAGATAGTGATAGCTTAGAAGTTTGAGGATGATTTATCTTTTTATTTTATGGTGGATGGGAGTGAATTAAAGCTCATCCCCAAATGAGGTTCTCATTCACTTGAATTCCAATATCCTTCCTTGAGTGGAAAGGAAAAGGGTGAGTGACTGGGAGCTCTGGAATATGCCCAGGCTACCTTGTGATGTTTAACCTGAACTATCAGGAATTGTAGTAGGGCTTTACTGCTCCCTGCCTCCCAAATTTCTGTTTCAGTGCAATCTTAATTCACCTCAGAGAGTGTGACTTGCAAACAACCATCACTGATTTTGTGGCTCCAGGTGAAAAACAGTTAGGAATGGCTGCTGAAAAAGCTTCCAGAAGTGGTCAACTGAGCAGCAACCTAATAAATAGCCCATGGGCCAAACCTGGCCTGCCCCCTGTTTTTGAAAATAAAGTTTTATTGGAACACAGCCATGTTCTTTCCTTTGCACATTGTCTGTGGTTGCTTTTCCACTACAGAGGCTGAGTTGGATAGTTGTGACAGAGCTCATACTGCCTGCAAAGCTTAAAATTTTACTATTTGGCCCTTTACAGCAAAAGTTTGTTAACTGGATTTGATTAAAAAAACAAAAACAAACCTAAGATTCAAAAAAAGTAAGTAAGTTTTCCAAGGGCACAAAGCTAGCAGGTGATAATTTGAGGATTTAACCCAATGTCACTCCAGCCCTGGAGTCTGGACTCTTTCCACTATGGCTCAGTTTGAAGGTCCCTTGGCATTTTTACCAGCTCCAGCCCTTTCCATTAGTCCCCTTCTTCAGTTCCCTCAAGGGCTCAGGTGTCAATTCTGAAGCCCTGGGGTCTCATGGAATCCCGATTTACCATTCAAGTCCTTTGGTGACCTTCCTTCAAGTACAAGCTGCTCTACCAGTGCCCCCAGAGTAAGGGAATCTGGTGCTACCAAATGTTGACCTAGCCCCTTGATAACAGGTCTTGGATCTTGACCAAATTTTTTGCTAAATTTATCTCTAAAAGTACTTGTTTCTCTTCCTGAGTAAATGCCTTTTAGGAGCTGATTCCTGTTTTCAAACAGTTTTCCCCTATAATTTATATATATGCATACATACTTTGGATCACTCAAGCCTTTATCAAATCATCCTGTTAAGTAAGCTATTTTCCAAAAAGCTACCCTCCCTGCTACTCTAATACTAAGGGAGGATGGTTTTTCGTTACTTTCTCTTTGATCATCTCATGGGGTGTCAAAATATTTCCACTAAATGTTATAGACAAAACCAGTTTTATTTGAATTTTTGATTTATCAATTAATGTATTCATTCTCTTACTTCAACCATGAGATGGAAGGGGTGAATATTTTGCAGTCAAATAAAGATTGGATATCACTTGCACCCAAGTAGGTTCAATTATTGGATTAGGGCACCTTTGAGTATTTTAATTTTCATGTGAGGTTTGGGGGACATGTATATGTCAAGGAGGTGACAAAATTGTAAGGATGTGGTTTTAGTGTTTTAGCATGTGTGCATGCACTTAAGCCATGAATAATTAATTGTTCTTTTTACATCTTTATATACATGGTGCTATCTTCCTAGGGTACATTTTAAGAAATGTTAATTGTGTGGAGATATAAGAAAATATCCCCAAATTCATTGTTCCTTGTTAGAATGAAATTGGAGGACAATACAGTGCAAATTGCCAACATGAACCTAGGTGGAAGATATTGGTCTATCTTTATTGTATCTTCAGGGTGAGGAGAAGAGTCGTAAAAGAAGAAAGTAGTTCCATGCCATTCCCTAAACGTGAGCTCAGACGTTAGGGGCCTGGGTTGGTTAAGTCCTAGCCAGTTTTGTTTCCTCTTCCCAGTTGACTGTGAAAGAGGGTCCAGAAACAAGACACTTCTCTTCTCAGCTTCTAAGACTGAACTGAAGCTCCCCTTTCTCTGATGGCTTCTCCACCTGTGATGTGTGACCCTATAGGGTTTTACCATGTCTAGGTAAGTCATGCTCTGCTCATTCAGTCATTCCTTCCTTTAACTAAAATTTGTTTAGTTCCATACTTGTGCCTGGCACTGTTTAGGAGCTGAGGGTATAACTGGGGAGCAAGATAGTCATGATCCTTGCACTCATGGAATTGGGAGAGAGTCATTAAATGAGTAACAACATGTGCTGTGAAAGGGGAAATGACAGTACTTAGGGAACACATGATGGGGGTGGGGGATGTAACATGACCTGTGTGATCAGAAGGCCCTAGAGAATGAGTAGCTACTAACACCTATCTACAAGGCCAGGGAGGATTGGGCCCCATGAGACTCATCTACCCTCCCACCTGGATCAATGTGGTGACTGTTGTAACTTGCCTCCTCTGCATTCATTTCAGTCCTTCCTCATTTTGTAGCAGCCATATGGTTTGGGTAACTCAACTCAAGTGGTAGCTTTCCTCTGCACAGTAATTAGTTCAGGGGTATCACATGTCCCAGGTTGATTGTATCTGATTGTATCTGAGATACAATCTGAGATTGTATCAGGGCTTTTGTTCCTAGGCCAGCAATAGTTGATGCTGTGGGAAGATATGAAGCCTTGGACTGCCACCCACTTACTACCACCAGACAAGCAGCCAGGGCTCCTTCCTCAGCTTATCCCCAGTTTACCTCCTAACTCACGCTTTTATTGGTGCTTTATCCTTTTCTCTGTCTATCTAAGTCTTATTTATGACCCATAAATCCTAGTTCAAAGCCCTTCCCTGAGGAAGTCTTCAACTCTTTCTCACACCTACCCCCTGAAATTCCACCATGAATGTCACTTCATTTTCCACTTGAAATTCCCCATGAGGAGCTATTCCCATGGGTGGTGACTGGACATACCATTTTGCTGTGAGTTAGCGGATCACTGATCTACAGGCTTTAGGTTCCAGATCACCTGGTGATGGGGTCTGGAGTCTCATCCAGGGACATGTGGAGATGGTCTCTTCTCCCAGACAACATGCAACAGTGTAAAAAAGTTAGAGGTCTGGCCTAAATGGGGGTCAGGAGACCTGGGTTCCATTCTGGTTCCACTGTAATAATAACTCAAGCAATGAATACTTGGTTTAATGGGTATTCCCGTTCTTGATCCTCAAGTCAACTCTATGTGATAAAGGTTAAGCTGCACTTTATAGATGAAGACATTGGGGGTCCAAGATGCTGAGTGACTTTCCCAAGGCCCCAAACTGGAAAGTGGCAGAAGTGACATGAGAAGCTAGTTTGTTCCCCCATCTCCTCTAGAGGCCTGCATTCTTTCCACTGCTACCTCCCACTACCATTTTGAATTTCAGCTTATCCCCAGTTTACATCCTAAACGTAAATTTGAATTTCAGTGTTCTTACCTCTCATAGTAGAAAAAGAATAATCTTTATTCACCAAGATTTAGGGAAGGATGAAGGGTGAATACAGATGTGAAAACACTTCGAGAAGTACAGAGCAGTCTGAGACATGGTGGGAGGCAAGAGGAGACGACAGGCAGGAGTGTTATGAGACAGGCTTTGAGAAACCTTCCCACTTTTTGGTCTCATTTCTGCAAGAATGGCTAAAAGTGAGATTTCCCAAAACTTCTTTGGATGGCTTCTCAGTAAGGTAAGCTTCTTAGAAGGTGGTCTGGACACTAACGCCTATACATCAGTCACTGGCTAATTCACAGCAAAAGAGTAAGTCCAATCACCACGCAGGGAGATAATTCCTACAGCAAGCATCCCCACCAACCTACTTTTGGAGGTTGAGGAAGTTGGGACAGGAGACCCTCTGCTTTCTGCCCTGGCCAAGTCTCAGGTATTTTTGGCACCAGAAGATTCAGCCCTAAGATGCTCTTCATAACAAGAACGGACAACAGCTCCTCCCTTTTGCCACCTGCCTTTCCTTTTTGCTGTCACCTCCTCCACTTAACCTGTTCCCCCAAGGCTCATGTGTTGAGTGGAGGGAAGGAGCCAAATTAGGAGGAAGGGGCGCCATCAGTACAGCCAGAATCAAGGAATGGTGACCTAGGAGGAAGACCTCGGCATAGCGGAGTGTGTAAAGCCCACCTCCTGCTTGCCAGCCCTGTCCCCGAGCACCCCTTCCAGTACTGGGTGCCTCTATCAGAATGCACCACAGTGTCATGCCACCCTCACCATGGAAACCAAGGATCAGAGCATCTCAAAGCTAGGAGGAATTTTAGGGACTACTTAGTCCAAGCCCATTTTATAGATGAAGAGTCTGGTGCTCTGAAGGTTATAGTGATGTGTGCCAAGTGAGTGGAAGGCCAGGATTAGTAACAAGGGCTCCTAAGGCAGGGTTTCCCAAGCTGTGCCCCTGCTACCTTTGAGGTCTGTGGCAGTGCCTCAGTGTATTTCTTGGGAGCTTAGATGGAGGTCAAGGGGGTAGGGGATGGGGTGGAAGCTATGGAACTACCCCCCTCCATCAGGGAGGCTTCAATTCTATGCATCAGAGTTGTTTGTTTCTGTGTAAGTTTTCTTTTTATAAAAGGAAACGACTGCTTAAAAAAGAAAAAAACAACTTTGGAAACTACTGTTCTTTACCCAAATTCCCCTTAATTAATGTACTTGGAAAGGGCATTTACAATCAGTACCATGTAAGATGTACATGGAACAGAGGCTGACAAGCCTCCCAATTCACCAGCCACCTTTGCCAACACTCCAGTTCTAACCTGCAACATTCATATTCAAGTTCCCTACTGTTCTGCGCCTCACTCATCTCCGAAACGTTCCTCTTGTTTGTCTCTTCTGGTCTTTTTCAACACCTCCCCAATACCTCCTCACCTACTTTTTCTGATTTCCTTTTATAAACTGTCTCCTCAACCCTACTGTATCCTATAATCATCATAAAATTGTGTCCATTTTCCAGATGAGAATACTGAGGCTGCAAGAGTTATTCCTTGGTCCCTCTGAATTTGGCCAGGGTGAATTTTGTTTGGTGCATTCACATCCTGGAAATGGAGTTCCCTACTCTTCTTGGGCATTTCCACTGCCTACCTTGGCCTCATGTACCTGGAGAGGGAAGGAATCTCTGGGGAAGATTCATCTCAAATACACATTCATTGAGCACTTTTTCTGAGGGTACAATATTAGGCCATTAGTTTGGTGTGATGAAATGAGCACTAGGTTTGGAAACTCAGTTTCTGTTCTACCTCCTAATAGCTGTGTAATCGTGCCTAAGACACTTGACCTCTCAGAGCCTAAGTTTTGGGGATAATAATATCTATCTTGTAGATTTGTGAGGAGATTGTATGAAAAATGCCTTGGATGTAATAGGAGCTTAATAAATGGTGATTATTATTATATTGTTTTGCATTTGATATCTTATTTAAAACATGACAATAATTTGCAAGTTAAGTTTCATTTTCTCTTACATACTTGTAAAGACCGAGGTTCAGAGGCTAAGAAACTTATCCACAATAATATAGCTACTAAGTCAAGCCCAGGAGTTCTTCTCCAGGGCCAGCACTGCTTTCACCGTCCTGCCCACTGGAGGCTCTATGACAATCTCAGATTATTCTTTCAATCATGGAAGTTATAGCACGCAGGCTGCCACAGCCTCCTGGAGCAGGGTGCACACTTGCAACTTGCACCCTGCTGCCCCAGATCATGTTTCAGGTGGGCACCTGGGTTTTGAAAAGTCCTGCCATGTCCTTCCCCATTTCACCATCCCCAAGTTCCCCTTCTGATCACCATTTCCGTTCAAGGAGTGATTTTTAAAGTAAGGGTCAGTTCCAGTTCCAGGACCAGGTGCTTCCTAAAAATGCAAACTTTTAACGAACTCACAGAGGGTGAGAGTCTGTTGATGCTGAACAGTTCAAGACACCAGGTGGCGGGGAAGAGAGGATAGTGAGCCCTGACTTACTACGTGGGCTTGGGCAGTTCTCTTCTGGCAGGCCTGGGGCACACATAAATGAACCAGCCACACCAAATCCTCAGAGGGAGACCTCATGGTGGTTCTCCATGAGTTTGATGACCAGAGAGATATTCCTAACTTATGGGGTTCCTGGTCCTTCCTGAGAGCCCTGAAGATAGTAACATCTTGAAAGACTAGAATACCTGTGACAGGCATAGAAAAGTCCTCAGTCCTTCATGGCATTAAATATAAAGTTCCTACCTATGAGTTGGTTTTCTAAGTAGAGACTGATTGGGTTACTTGGGTTAAGAGAGAAAATTCAAATGTTCTCTGCCATCAGTATGATTGTTAAATGCATAATAATTTAAAATATTTTTCTAAATAATACATATTTATATTTACATAAATATAAAACATAGAAGTATATGTATAAATGTTATAAATGTATTTGAATTAAAATATTTTAAATATATATTTCTAAGTAAATAAATATACACCTGTACCATCTCATTTTGTTCTTAAAATTACCCTCAAAATGAAGGAAGGCTGAGGTCCGAGGAAGATGACATTCTTCATCTATTTCATGGCAGAATCCAGATAAGGACACAGGTTTTCCTGATACCCAACACCACTTCTTTCAGCCCTTTGTTCCCTGGGACAGTCAGAAGGGCAGTCAACTCCCAAAGTCATTCCTTCTCCTCTCCCTCCAGTCTCTTCCTACCCTCTGTGAGACCACAGGACGTAAAAGCTTTTGCACAGCAAAAGAAACCATAAACAAGATCAAAATACAACCCTCAGAATGGGAGAAAATCTTTGCAAATGAAGGAACTGACAAAGGATTAATCTCCAAAATTTACAAGCAGCTCATGCAGCTCAATAACAAAAAAACAAACAACCCAATCCAAAAATGGGCAGAAGACCTAAATAGACATTTCTCCAAAGCAGATATACAGATTGCCAACAAACACATGAAACAATGCTCAACATCATTAATCATTAGAGAAATGCAAATCAAAATTACAGTGAATTATCATCTCACACCAGTCAGAATGGCCATCATCAAAAAATCTAGAAACAATAAATGCTGGAGAGGGTGTGGAGAAAAGGGAATACTCTTGCACTGCTGGTGGGAATGTGAATTGGTTCAGCCACTATGGAGAACAGTATGGAGGTTCCTTAAAAAACTACAAATAGAACTACCATATGACCCAGCAATCCCATTACTGGGCATATACCCTGAGAAAACCAAAATTCAAAAAGAGTCATGTACCAAAATGTTCATTGCAGCTCTATTTACAATAGCCAGGACATGGAAGCAACCTAAGTGTCCATCATCAGATGAATGGATAAAGAAGATGTGGCACATATATACAATGGAATATTACTCAGCCATAAAAAGAAACAAAATAGAGTTATTTGTAGTGAGGTGGATGGACCTAGAGTCTGTCATACAGAGTGAAGTAAGTCAGAAAGAGAAAAACAAATACCATATGCTAACACATATATATGGAATCTAAGAAGAAAAAAAAGTGTCATGAAGAACCTAGGGGTAAGACAGGAATAAAGACACAGACCTACTAGAGAATGGACTTGAGGATATGGGGAGGGGGAAGGGTAAGCTGTGACAAAGTGAGAGAGTGGCATGGACATATATACACTACCAAATATAAAATAGATAGCTAGTGGGAAGCAGCCGCATAGCACAGGGAGATCATCTCAGTGCTTTGTGACCACCTAGAAGGGTGGGATAGGGAGGGTGAGAGCGAGGGAGACGCAAGAGGGAAGAGATATGGGAGCATATGTATATGTATAACTGATTCACTTTGTTAATAAAGTAGAAACTAACACACCATTGTAAAGCAATTATACTCCAATAAAGATTTTTTTTTTATTTAAAAAAAAGCAATATTAGATGAGGGAGCAGAGCCTCCTAAGTTGAGCCAGAGGCCCAGAGTGGAGCCAGAAGCCTGGAGCTACAAGCAGGATGGGGTAGGCAGTCCAGAAAACAGGAAGATCTTGCTGGACTCACCTGTGAGCTGGCAGAGGAGAAAGATGAAGGTGAAGCATGCTGTGGAAGAAAGCATATTGCTCTTTGGATGTCAGTCACTAAAATGAACCCACTTCCCTCTTATAGTCACCCGGTATAGTCACCCCGGCTGGGATTTTAAGTAGGTGGGGTCATGAGATTGAGAATGAGTCATCTCAATTTTCTCCATATGGCCAGCATTTTCTGTTACACATGTGACCTTTCAGAGATTCATAATAGAGAACCTGGAAGTAAATAGAAGGTTATACAGAGAAAAAAGGGTGGCACTGGGGATAATAATAATATCTTTTGAGCTTTGCTAAGTACCAGGAGTACCTGTATTCTTTTATTTATTCCTCATAACAACCCTGTGAGTGAAATACTACCATAATGCCTAGTTTACAGATGAGAAAATGAAGGCTTAGAGTATAGTACAGCAAAATTAAGAAGTTCTTTTAATCAAAAGTAACCATTATAATAGTAAAAAGGCAAGCCACGTAGTGGGAGAACATATTTGTAATACATTTATTCCACAAGAGGCTTATATCCATAATATATGGTTGTCCAATTGTTCCAGCACCATTTGTTGAAAAGACTGTCCTTTCTATATTGAATTGCTTTTTATTTTAAAATTAATTTTTATTGGAGTATAGTTGCTTTACAATGTTGTATTAGTTCCTACTGTACAGCAAAATGAATTAGCTATACATATACATATATTCCCTCTTTTTTGGATTTCCTTCCCATTTAGGTTACCACAGTGCATTAAGTAAAATTCCCTGTGCTATACAGTATGTTTTCACTAGTTGTCTATTTTGAATTGCTTTTATACCTCTGTCAAAAAGCAGTTGATTATACTTGTGTGGGTATATTCTGGGCTACCTATTCTGTTCCATTGATTTATACAATGTAATTATTGATATATTATGACTTAAGTCTGCCATTTTATTGTTTATTTTCTTCTTGTTTCTTCTGTTTTTTATTCCTCCGTTTTACTTTCCTGGCCATTCTGTAGGTTATTTGAATATATTTTTAATAATTCCATTTTGATTTACTATAGTGTATCTTGAGTATATCTCTTTGAATAGATTTTTAAATGGCTGCTCAAGGCATTACATTAAACATACGTAACTTATGGTTTACTGATGTTGGCTTTTTACCAGTTCAACTAGCATGTAGAAACATTACCCTTACAAGATTCCTTTACCATCGCTCCTTGATAACTTATCTTAACCATATCCTCTCCACATATTGAGAACCATATCAGGTAATGTTATAATTTTTGCTTCAATTGTCAAGTATAATTTAGAAAACTCAAGAGGAGAAGGATAGGGAATTCCTTGGCGGTCCAGTGATTAGGACTCAGTACTTTCACTTCCAGGGCCTGGGTTAAATCCCTGGTGGGGGAACTAAAACCCTGCAAGCCACCTGGTGCAGCCAATAAAAAGAAAGAAATGAGGAGAAGGATAGTCCATGATATTTAACCCATATTTTTACTCTTTCCATTGCTCTTTCTTTATTCCTGATGTTCCAAGTTTCCTTCTTTTTTCTTTCTGTTTCAAGATATTCCTTTAGCCATTCTTTTAGGGTAGGTCTGATGGTGACAAATACTTTTAGTTTTCCTTTACAGTGAGGATGTCTTGATTTCACCTTCATTTCCTGGGCATAGAATTCTATTTTTTTCACAAATAAGATCTTTTATTTGTCACCATTGGAAGTCTGATTTTTAAACAGATTATTGGACTGGTGGCTCATATCCATCAGTTCACTCAACTTTAGCACCTGCTGCATCCCCAGTAGCTTTTCCAGAACTACTACCTTCACTATGTAGCTCCATGAGTTTTCCCGATTCAAACTTGGGCTTCTTCAGCATTTTTACTTTTCTAACAAAGGCATCATGGAGTGGATAAATAGATTGGAAGACCTTTTCTGTCTTTCCCAATGCTGCCTGGCATGAATTTATTTACCCTGTTTCAAGTCATTTGTCTACACCTCTTGGGTCATGATTTTCATCATCTTCTTGCGGATCTGGAGGACCTGCTGGTGTTGGGCATAAGAGGTCTTCCGAATCTGATTGTTGCGTTTTTTAGTAAAACCCGTACAGAATAGACGAAGCAAATAACCATAGGTAGTTTTGACATCAGTGTGAGCTTCAATCATGGTCTGACATTTTTTGACCATGGAGCACATTTTATCATGGGTAAGATCCATGCCATGGAAATTAGTCGGGCAGTTTTTGCCCTGAACATCCTCAGTAATTAGCATGAATTTTCTAAATGCAACTTCATCATTCTGCAGATCAGCAAGGCTCACTTCAAAAATATGACCCTTGAGGCCATCAGATGAGATTTTGGTTCCTTGAGTTCTCGTGACTAGTGTTTTCCCAATATTTCTTACATTGAACATAGCTGGTGCTTTCATATCATACCAATCTTTCTTAGAAAATGGGTCAACTGCTTTCTTCTTGGCTCCCTTTTTACCACCTTTTGTAAGGCACTTGATCTTGCCGACCCTGGGTATAGAATTCTAGATTGACAGTTCTTCTATTTCAGCACTTGAAAAATGTTATGCTACTCCTCTTGCCTGCATTGGTTTCTGATGAGAAATCAGCAGTCATTTAAATTGTTTTCCCCTGTAGTTAATGTGTTGTTTCTCTCTGTTATGAAGATATTTTTTTCTTTTTTGTTAGTTTCCAGCTGGTTGATTATAATGTGTCTTGGTATGTATTTCTTTGAGTTTCTTTGGGGGTTCATTCAGTTTCTTGAATCTGTAGATTTGTGCTTTTTGCCAAGTTTGGAGAAATTTCAATACTTTTTGAATAGTTTTTCTTTCTTTAGCCCAGCATTCTTATTTTTTCTCCTCTCATTCTGAGACTTTGATAACAAGAATGTTAGATCTTCTATTATTGCCCCCATAGAGCTCTGAGTCTCTGTTAATTTTTTTCAGTCTGTTTTCTTTCTGTTGTTCAGGTTGGGCATTTTCTATCTTCAAGTACACTGATTCTTTCCTTTATAATCTCCGTTTTGCTATTAAGCCCATCAAGTGACTTTTAAATTTCATTTACTGCATTATTCACTTCTAAAACTTCCCTTTGTTTCTTCTTCATATATTCTGTTCTTTTGCTGAGACTTTCTAGTGGTTTTGTCTTTTTTTTCATTTCCGGGGTTTTATAATTACTTGTTGAAGTATTTTTATGATGGCTGCTTTAAAATCCTTGTCAGATAATTCCAACATCTCTCATCTTGGTTTTGGTGCCTATTGATTGCCTTTTCTTCATTCAAGTTGATATTTTCCTGGTTTTTGGTATGATGAGGGATTTTTGACACTGTGGTGGTGGGGTAGGTGATGTTATTACCACTGGGTGGTTGTGAAAATACAAATTTTCCCTTGTCTTTGCTCAATAACACCCCAAGCAAGAGAGGGAAGTAGTGCCTCATTACTTCAGGGTGGGAATGGAAGTTCAGTCTTCCCAATCAGCCTCTTCTGACGTCACCTCAGTTGGGAAGAGGAGGGATTCCTCCTTACTGCCAAGAGAGATGGAGGTCTAGGCCTTCCTCTTGGCCTTGCTGATGGTGTGGGGTCCCACATTTTTCCAATGGCATTTGGCCAGAATAAGGTGATTATTGCCTAAAGGCTTCTATCTTGCTAGGCCATCTCTTTTCTCATCCTTTGCCAAGAGAGAGAAGAGTTCTCTTGGGATTGGCATTTCTGGGTTACAGACTTGTTTAACACACAGCCCAAGGTATATACATGACAAAAAGGAAACCCAGGGAACTAACCACCATGTCATTCCTTGGATCTTGAGGTCCCTATCCAGTACTTCTTCTCTCCACCTTTTAGAATCTTCTTGTGTTTGTGTTTTATATATAATGTCCAGGATTTTTGGAAAAGTAGAGAAAAATGTGCCCACTTCATCTTCTCTGGAATGAGTAGTCTGATCATGTGTTTTTATAACCTTTCTAATCTATCTATCTATCTATCTATCTATCTATCTATCTATCTATCTTTCTCTCATGGAAATAATGGTGGGATCTTTAAAAATGACTTCTTGTTAATTGGTAAAATCTCAGAAGATTTAATAAAAACTTGGTAAAATTCAGTACTCACTCATAATTGCAAAAATTTGTAGAAAACTACAGCAAACATAATATTTAGGTAGTGAGCCTTTAGAAGCAATACTATCAAAGTCAGGAATAAAGCAGGAATTTCTCCAGTTACTGCTACTATCTATTAATTAACTGGTGTCTTGGCCAAAGCAATGAGACAAGAAAAATAAAAATGTATGTGGATTAGAAAAGGAGACACAAATTATCATGTTTTTAGATCACATTACTGCTGATGTAGAATATCCAAAGGAATCTGCAGGCAAATTATGAGAGCTAATAAAGGAGTGAACAGGACTCCAGCAAACAACCATATCGTATACAAGATATTATTCTAACTTGGCTCACAGGTTAACACTTGTTTACTAATCTTGACATAGTTCAAGATTACCTCCTAGTAAGTCCTCAGTAAATATTAGCTATTATTTTAATTATAATTCATTTAAAATAGCTTCTAATCAGTTATAAAGAGCCAGACCTTGGGCTGTAAGTGTAAACAGATGAAGTCCCAGTCTTTTTTTTTTTTAAGTCTTTATTGAATTTGTTACAATATTGCTTCTGTCTTTATGTTTTAGTTTTTTGGCCGGGAGGCATATGGAATCTTAGCTACCTGACCAGGGATCAAACCCACACCACCTGCATTGGAAGGCAAAGTCTTAACTGCTGGACCATCAGGGAAGTCCCCTAGTCCCAGTCTTTATGTGAGGAATGCTGGTGAGCCATATGCCTGCTGTGCATCTGCACTTGCCCTCTGCCCTCTGCGTTGATGTTCCAGCTCCCTCCCCACTGCAGAAAAGCCACCTGACTCATTCAGGTAGGTCACAGCACTCCTAACTGATACCTCATCTCTGATTCCCTGACTCTTTGCTGTTATCTGCTGGCATAGATATGTGTGCCATGTGCCAGGCTTAGGTAAGAGGGATGGGGGAGGTAGGTGGGAGATGGAAGGTGTGTGTAAGTTGACAAACATGGAGATGTCTGTTACA